TTCATCCATTTTAACTTTTTTTTTTTTTTTTTTTTTTTTTTTTTTTTTTTTTAAAAACATATATTTTTAATTATAATGTTATAAATAATGTTTAACACTTAATTACATTTTATTAAAATTAACAAAAGTACACAATTAATATAATACAAGATAAAATTATATAAATAGTAAACACGTGAAAATTTTATTATACTTCTTTTCTTAAATTATCTCTTTAAAATTAATAATGTAAATTCCATACAAAAGAAACTCTTTTGTCAAAAAGAAAAAAAATACTTATATATTTTTTTTTTTGTTTTTCTTTTTTTCTTTTCAACCTTTTTTTTTTTTTTATCTGACGCCTGTAAGGCTATTTATTTTCCATATAGCTATCACATTTTATCCTCAAAAAGGTTAATAATCCTTTTTATTAATCATTCTGCTATTATACTGAACAGATTAATAAAGAGCATGTAAAGTTAACTTTACTAGTTTAATGAATTTAAATTTAATTTTAATGCTATAAACCAGTATACTGTTTTATATATAGTTTATTTCATTGACAACTTATTGTTCTTAAAAGACATTAATTTAATAAAAAGCATGTATTTTTATTAAAAATTTAAATCCTTATTAATTATCGATTTAAATTACATATACTTATAATATTATGAGTAATATTTAGAAATTTAAGTTCATTGCTCTTACATTAAAAAAAAAATTAATTAACCCCAATGCAAAATAAATTATTTGAATTATACAGAACATTAAAATTTTATTATTTTTGACATAAAATTTACTTATAAAAATTCGAACGAAAATTCATTACAAAGAAACTTTTTATCGAACAACGTTTCTTCTATTTTTCCTCTATTAATTAAATCACTTTAAAAAATGAATATGGATTTTTTTTTATATATTTAAATTTAGGAAAAAAAACAAAAAAAATTAACCAATTTCTTTTTTTTTTATCTAGTATTTAACAAAAGGAACCATTAATCTTTTGGAAAATAAAAAGTGATTGTTGTATAGAAAATAAATAGTCAGCCGTTCAAGCACGAGATAAAAGAAAAAAAAATAAGTTAATTTTTTTTTGTCCTATTTTAGTAAATTTAAAACACATGTATACATTTATTTTTTTGAAATGATTTTTTTTCGTCGAAGAATTAAAACGAAAGATTGTTTAAAAAATTTCCTTGTAGTACATTTTGTTTAAATTTATGTAAGAAAATTTTATATTTATAATAATAAAATTTTTATATTTTTTAATATTTATATAATTTAATTGATATTTCATTATTTAATTATATTTGTTAAAATCAATGGACTTGAATTGCAAAACAATATTCATAACATTATAAGTAAAATTAAATTAATTAAAAATTAATAATGAACAAGGATATAAATTTTTAATAAAAATAAGTATTTTTACCAAAGTAAATAAATGCCTCTTAGGAATAATAATTGATTAATAATATATAATATATAAACACAGTTTACTGGTTTTTAGAATTAAAACTAAATATAAATTCTTTAAATAAATATAGAAAACTCTACATACTTTTTATTAATCTGTTCAATATTACAAAAAAGTTATTGAATAGACATTTAATAAATCAACCAGCAAGTTAACAAAAAGAATGTAGAATCACTATTAAGAGTTTTATTGATTTAAGTAACACATCAATGCTATAAATCAGAAACTATATTTATGCAATTTACATCATTGATTATTTATTTACTTTAGTAAAAATCACTATATTTTTATAAAAAGCATAAATCCTCATTGATTATCAGTTTTTAAGTACAAAACATATAATTATTATTTCTAACGATTAATGTTTAAGAACTCAATTCTTTGAAATAACAAAAAAAAANAAAATCAATATATTTTTATTAAAAGCATAAATCCTCATTGATTATCAGTTTTTAAGTACAAAACATATAATTATTATTTCTAACGATTAATGTTTAAGAACTCAATTCTTTGAAATAACAAAAAAAAAAAGAAAATAATAAAAATACATGCTTATATTATTAATAGAAACAACGAAAATTTAATTCTTAAAAATAGAAAATTTTCTCTGATAAATATATTAAAAAAAAATTTAAAAAATTTTTTTCCACAAAATTCATATCTTTCCAAATTCAAAAAAATAATTAATAATTCATGTTAAGAAAAATATATAAAAAATCACTAACTATTTTTTATTTATTTTTTTTAATTAGCTTTTGCGCATGGATAAATGTATATTTTCCATATTGCAATTAATTTTTTCATCATCAAAAAAGTTATTAAAGCCTTTTACTAACCATATATTTATTATCTATTGCTATATATTTTATTTTTACACTAGTATGATTATTTCATATACATTATTTTAAGATTGAAATATATATGATTTATTTTTATAAAAATAACTATGAGAATACGTATATATAAATGATTATTTATGTATGATTTATCTTTTTTTAATAGTTATATTATTGACTACCTTATTTATTTATATAATAATGTTACAATTACCAAATAATAATTATAAATAAGTTTTTTTTTCTTTTTTAACATTATCTTACTTATAATAAATGCAGTAATTTATACATTTAGTGGATTATTATTTGGATAATTTTAATTTTTAAATATTCAATACATATATTATTTAAAAGATTTTAATACAATGAAGCAGTATGTATAAATGTAAGATACTTTTATATTTTACATATTTTTAGTTACGAGAACTGCATATATATATTATATTAAAAAAATATAAATCATAAAAACATACTTCTATTAAAATTAAGACTATTTTTTAAAGAAAAAAGAGAGTTAAAATATTATAACGGTAGTATTTATGCATATACTTTTTTATTTATGATATATCAAAGATTCTTATGAATTAAATTAAAAAAATAAAAATTATTAAAAAAATTCTTCATTAATGTTCATAAAGATGTTTTATAGCACTTGAATATTTAAGAAAAAAATAATATTTGAAAGGGACAATTGATGAGCTCTTTGTTACTATATATGTGATTTATAAGTTGCTCGTTCAGTGACCTTCCTAGTGTAGAACAAATAAATTAATAAAAAGCATATAGAAAAAGTTCCACTTATTTTATTTTCATCAAACTATTCACTTTTATTAATTATTTCAAATATTAAATATGTGAATTATTTACTATTGTTTTTAATTTACACTATATCACACTTTATATTAAACTCTTAATTTTTCAAAAAAAAAAAATTAAAAGAATATATGAACATTTTTATCTTAGTTTATATACTTTTAGAGCAAGCTGTTTTTTTAAATGTATTTACTTTTAGTGAAAATATTTTTTTTTTTTAATATACGTACTTTGTTTACATGTTTATGTGTGCACATTTCCTTGAATTTTAATACAAACAATTAAAAATGTTTTTTTTCATTTTATTTATTTAAATATTACTAAAAATAAGTTTATTATACTATTTATGGGCCAATAATTGAGTTACCTAAAATTTATAACAAGATAAGGGAATATAAAAAAGTTGCAATATAAATATATAAAACTAAAATAAAATAAAAAATAAAATAAATACATTCTCATGATAATAAGAAATTATCAATTAAGCATATAAAGGCTAAAAAAAAGCACAAATAATTTTTTTTTTTATATTTAATTAGAAGATTATGAAAATATACATACAAAAGGTTATGTTATAATTCTGCTCTATATTTATTTATTGATACATTTTATATCCTAATAAAAATGTATGACCTTGTATTTTATAGGAAAAAATACGATGTATTTAATAAAAAATACATCATTACAGTTAGTATAATAAATAACATTTTTATTAAATTTAAAATTTATATTTGTTATTATTAGTTACAAAAAAAGAAAATTCATAAAAATATATTTTTACAATATGTTTCCTATAAAAAAGAATATTCTTAATAGTTTTTAGATTAATTAAAAGAGTGAATTCGCAAAAAAATAATCAATCGTTTTTTGAAACATGCTTTTTACTATATATATATTATTAAAACAATAGTTTTTTTTTTTTTTTTTAATTGTGATTAATTTATTTAAAGTGCTTTTTGTAAGATATATAATTATAATTTCTTTAAAATATATATGTTTTCCCTTTTTCTTTTGAATTTTTGCATTTCATAAATTTTTTTTATTGAGTGAAATAAATGAAAAACAAATTTTTTTTAAAAAATAATTATAATAACAAAAAATAAATATATATTTATATATAATGTATTAACATATATTAATAACTGAAATAAAAAAAAACATTAACATAAATAAAAGTATAATAGAAAAACCAAAATAGTTATGTTTAAAGTAAAAATATACACAATTAAAATTAGTTTCATATTAAATTAAAAATGACAATAAATATAGTATATTGCATGAAAAACACATGCATAGAACAATTTCTAATTTAATGATTTTTATTTTTTGATGGAGATATAATATCTCTAATATTTCTAAATTTATATCTATAAATCATAAATACTAAATATAAAAAAGATTGAAGTTTAACGAGATTTAATGAAAAAAATTAATATTAAACCAAAAAAAAAAAAAAAAAAATAAAAAAAGTTTGTTGACATTAAATATATAACATTTACAATTTTAATTTGTTTCAAATTAACAATAAATAATTATTTTTATCTATTTTAAGGATAAATATAATTTTAATGAAACATTTTTAAAATAACTTTACATACTTTTGCGCTTTTTTTTAACTTACAAACATACATTCTTATTTATTTTATTTTTTGAAAAATTAACAATATTAATCTTGCATAAAGTAAATGTAATATTATGCATAATTCTGAAAAATTAGGAATTGTATTTCATGTAAAAAATTATTTATTACCTTAAAAACTTAAATAATTTACAAAGATTCTAATATCATATAAAGTAATATTACAAATATCTAACTTAGCATTAGTGGAAATAAAAACAATTTTGTAAGTGGATTAATAACTCTTACTTTATTATTATATTATAATAGTATTGAAATGAAAGCATTTACTTTATGTTTAAAGATTTTTACATTTCTTATTTTAACTTGGATATTTCATTGCTTTTACAACGTAATTTAATATTCATATAAAAAAAAATATATATAGATATATTTTGTTTCTAATAATTTCTAAAATTTTATTTAATTTATTACTTTGACAGTAAAAAAAAAAATTTAAACAATTATTATATTATCTCATAGTATGATTCCTGTAGGTCCTTTATTGATAAAGATACATTACTAATAAATAACAAGTTAAAAGATAAAAGATTATTAGCTGAGGGTAATATATTGGAGAAAAATCAAACACATATTATAGAACGTAAAGAACATTATCAATATGGTGAAAAAGATAACAAGAATGAAAAGCTGATTAATTTGAAGAACATGTATAGTGTGTATTATAGTGCTATTTATCTATTAATGTGTGAACTGTTTTTTATAGAAACAAATGAAATTTGTAGTAAATGTAAAGAACAAATGTTGAGTTTTTATAGGAGCAATAATTCATATACGAAGTATCTTGAGCCACTTTAACTGATTTACTAAAATAATAATATAGCTGGTAAAAAAAAAATAATTGATATAATTTTATAAAATATTCGCTTATATTATGATAAATTTTTATGTAAATATAAAGAACAGGAAAAAGTAAAATAAAAAAGAGAAATTAAAAAATAAAAACTAAAAAATTTATTAAAAATAAACTTTCATAATCCTTAAGAAAATAAAAATAAATAATTGAAAAAAAAAGCTTAATTAACCATGCACAAGTGATAGTTTAAGAAAAATCAATATTTTGCTTTACATTTTTTTTTAGAAATACATTTTATTTTATTTAAAAAATAAAATAAAATTATAGAAAGAGAAAAAATTTTTAGAAAGAAACATTTTCATGAGAAAATTAAATATTTTTGATAGTGAAATTTTCGTTTTTAGTGATACTAATATAATTTAAATTTTTTTTTGCTCTTTTAAAAAAAAGTAAACATGAATAACTGAAAATTATTCATTAAAGTTATATAATGGAATATTTTGTAAATATAAATTAATGATCAATGAAAATTTATGTCCTCAATAAAAATATAGGATTTTTATTAAAAAAAAATAAATTCTCAATGAGCCACATAATTTACAGTTTATTGGTTTATATCATTAAAGTTATATTTAAATTCATTAAATCAGTAGATAAAATTCTGCATTATCTTCACTAATTTTTCTATTCATTACTTGCCTTATTAATTACTATTTCAATTATTCTAGTAGTCCTAAATAAACAAATTAACAAAGAATGTGTGAAAAAATTTTACTTATTATTTTTGATTTAAAATATAATACAATTATTCACTATTATTAATTAACATAATATTACTATTGAGTTTTTTAATTGTCAATGTTTTATTTCATACAATATACCATGTATATCACCTTTCTACGCTACGTTTTTAATCTTTCAAAAAAATAATATTCTACATCATTTCAATGAAAAAAAAAATATTTAGATTACTATTTTATTCTTAATAAAAAACTAAATAAAAAAAATGATTATCAAAAAAAAATATAATAAAATACATCTACATTTCTTTCTGGTGTATATACTTTCTGAGTGAGTATTATTTTTTTTTTTTATATATCTACATTTGTTATATTTATTTTTTTTTTTTTGTGTAAGCACTTATGTATGCACATTTTATCATACTGGCTAGAACAAAATAAGATGTTTTTATCTATATTATTTATTTAATATTATTATAAACAAGTTGATAATATTATTTATAGATAAATAATGCAAAAAGCATTTCATCTATTATATTGGTTTGTAAAAAAAGTCAAAAGAAAAATTATCATAGATTGTAGTTACATAAATAGATATGTAATTGATAATTCATGTGTTCACTTCATGAAAAGAATTATTCTCAACATTTTTTATTAAATAGATTTCGAAAATACATCTTAATAGTCGATTTAGGAACGTACAATTATTTTAAAATATTGAAGATGCACTTGAATTATACTATTTCAACGTAAAACATTTGTATACAATTTACTGTAACTTGGACTAAAAACTACTACTACACATATTTAAAGAATAAAGAGCATTTTTATTAACTTAATTCATAAAAACAATGTAATTTTGTGTAGTAATAGCATCATGATTTGAACAAAGAACATAGTTTAACACATTAATATATTAGTAAAACTAAATAAGTTATTGATTAACAAAAAACATTATTATATATTTCGAAAATAAAAAAAAATTGGCTGTATGTAAAATATATACTTACCTATGTAAATGCTAGTTAAAAAGAAATTATTAAAAATTAATTTATATTTTTTATTTTGAAAAAGTTAAAAAAAAAAAAATAATAAAATATTTTTATTTTTTGGTTAATAAAAAAAATTACTTTTTTTGGGAATGAAAAAAACTATATATAAAATAGACCGCCATGCAAGCTTTAGATAGAAGAAAGAGATAAAAAAAAAAAAAAAGAGAAATTATAAAAAAAAAAAAATATCAGAAGTATGTTTATTTGACAAAAGGGTTTAATTTGTAGGAAATATATATTTAAAATTTTTAAGCGAAATTTTGTAAAAAGCAATAGTATAATCTTAATATACATATCATTAATATAATTGAAATTTATATTTTCATAATTGTGCACATTTATTAATACTAACATAATACACTTAAATGTAAAGCATTATTTGTAATATTGCAAATAAAAATATATATAACTACAAATAAATAATTAGTGAGCATTTATGTCCTTAATAAGCACAGTAAAATTCTTATTAAATTAAATAATTATTTCTTAATAGCTATTAGATCCACAACAAAATAGAATGCATAAATACATTTGTTTGTAATATTGGAAATTTTTTGTGAATTTATTAAATTCGTAGATGTAACTCTACATGCTATTTATTAATTTGATTGTTGAGTACTTGGTTTATTAACTGGATATTCGGTGACTTTGCTAGAGTACTGAACAAACAAATTAATAAATAGCATGTAGAGTTGCCTCTACGATTTTGATATATTTATATATACTTTTATATGCTTTGAACGAGTGATTCTTAATTATGTAATCTACTTCATTCAGCATTCTTTAATTTCAATAGTCATTTATTTACTTTAATAAAAATCCTTATTTTTATTAAAAATTTAAATCCTTATTGAACATTAATTATTAATTAATGGTAAATTACTACTTTATTAGTTAAGTTATATTCAGCAATTAATATATATTGCTGTTGAATTAACAAACATAAACAATTAGTGACAATACAAAAAATTATATATATATTAATTACATGAAAATTTTATTGTTGTTTTGTACAAAATTATCTTTTATAAAATTCATCACAAAAGCTATTTAATTTCTTTCCCAAAAAAAAAATTCTTTTTTTTTTTTAAAAAAAAAGGTACAAACAAAAAATAAAATCACCAATCTTCTTTATGTGTGTGTACATAACCAACTTAGTATTCTTCACTTAACTAGTACTTTTATTTTCCAAAAAGGTTAATAAAGCCTTTTATTAACCATATAGACAAATCTGCATGATCTTTATAGATCTGTTTGTTCAACACTCTACAAAAATCATTGAATAAGCAATTAATAAATTACTAACATACATATATAATATATTTTAATTTATTTGCGTAAGAAAAAATAAAGAATATATATAATTAAAATAAAGAACAATAAAAACTAACATATATGTTGAAGAATATTCTACAATAAAAAATAATAATGATAAATATAATATTTTGTTTTAAATAAAAAATATAAATATATAGATATAAATGTGACACAATTATAAAGGATTTTCATATTATTGGAATGCATGCATTCATTATACAAAGTATTACATAATACATATATCTCAAAATATATTTAATTTTATATAAAGCTACTAGAGCTTCTTTATATAATTTTTATAAATGAAAGGGTAATGATTACACATATATATATTTCGTTTTATTAAAGAATAAAGAAAAAATATTGATATATTTTTAAGATT